CTCTTGCCTCAGCCTCCCAAGTGGCTGGAATTACAGGGGTAAGCCACTATGCCTAGCTAATCTTGGTATTTTTAGTAGAGACAGGGTTTCACCATGTTAGCCAGGCTGGTCTCGAATTCCTGACCTCAGATGATCCGCCCACCTAAGCCTCCCAAAGTGCTGGGATAACAGGCGTGAGCCACTGTGCCCGGCCCAGAACAACCCATTTTTGTAGGGCAGTAGGGTTCATTGTTTCTGGAAGCTAGAAGCATTTTGGCCTGATCGGCCTGGGAACTGGTGAACAGGCAGGTTGAGAGTGAAGCCAGGGCCTACAATTCCTCTCATATTACCTGTGTCCTCACTGGTGCAGGTGGCAGGAAACCCCCTTCCAAGGATCTTTGATCTCACTGGGAAGCTGGGGTTCAGGGAGGTTGGCACACGGGATTGCTTCAGACCTTCGCATGAGGGTGATGGATTGTAGTGTGGGCGATGGGGGATGATCCTCCCTGGAAGGGAGGCTCACCCAACATGTGTCAACAGACCCCAATTGTCTGCTCATGACTGTAATTTAAGATGCCAATTTTGCAACTCCTGGAGCTGGTGAAACACTATAGCCCCTTGGGTATTTTGTAGGAGATTTAAGGAGCTGCAAATTAGTGAACACGCAGGCTGCCTTGGTGCCTGGAGCAGAGCTCACATTCTAGAGAGAGTTTGCAGATTGGCAGACCACAGGCCAGAGTCATTCCACAGATGACTTTCAGGGACACATGGTTTGTTTTTGTTCCTTTATGTTCGAATTGAATTCCTTGCCAGCATTTTTTTTTTAAACATGGAAATTATACATGGAAATGTTTTGAGCCAGGCACGGTGGCTCATACCTGTAATCCCAGCACTTTGGGAGGCCAAGGAGGGTGGATCATCTGAAGTCAGGAGTTCGAGACCAGCCTGGCCAACATGGTGGAAACCTCATTCCTACTAAAAATACGAAAAATTCTCTGGGCATGGTGGTGGGCGCCTGTAGTCCCAGCTACTTGGAAGCCTGAGGCAGGAGAATCATTTAAACCTGGGAGATGGAAGTTGCCCTGAGCCGAGATCATACCATGGCACTCCAGCCTGGGCGACAGAGTGAGACTCCATCTAAAACAAAAACAAACACAAAAAGAAAATGTCTTGAAAAATCAAATCTAGCAACAGTGGGCCCACAGTCCTGCATGACAATCATTTGCTGAGTGTGATGGACCCTTTTGCCAGAACGTCAGAAGGCCAGTTTGTCCCTGCTACACCAGGGTTACCTGTCTGTCTGCTGCTGACAACTTAGTTTGAGACCCCAGGCTTTACTGGTAAGACAGACACAGACTCAACTATTTATCAGTGAGTATTGCAGCTTAGGACAGTGGTTCTCCATAGAGGTGACTGAGCACCGTAGGGGACAGTGGCAGTGTCTGAAGACATATTTTGGTTGTTGCAACTTGAGGAGGGTGCCATGGCATCTAGTGGGTGGAGAGCAGGGATACTGCCCAACATCCTACAGTGCACACGACAGCCCCAACAAAGATTATCCAGCCCTAAATATCAGTAGAACTGAGGTTGGGAAACTGTGGATTAGGGGCACCAGCAAACTGGTCTGGAAGGAAGAGGTTAATTCCAGTGGCGGGGCTCAAGAAAGGCTCCCTGAATAGAAGAGGTCTCGCTGGTGAGCAGGCACTTGATGATGTTCCTGTTCCCTTCTCAGCCCAAGCGCCTGGTTACTTTATAGGTCAGGGTTGAGGTGTTGTATTAGTCTGTTCTCATGCTGTTATAAAGAACTTCCCAGGACTGGGTAATTTATAAAGGAAAGATGTTTAATTGACTCACAGTTTTGCAGGGCCAGGGAGGCCTCAGGAAACTTACAATCATGGCAGAAGGGGAAGCAAACATGTCCTTCTTTACTTGATGACTGTGCCAGGTTTCAACTGAGAGCAATTGAGGGGAAGGCACGTGAGTCAGAGAACAGCACAAGCAAAGGTCTGGAGGTACCTTCGATGGGTCGAGGTGGGCAAGAGCGTGAACAGTGAGATGGAGCCTGTGGTTTGAGATACATGAAGTTTGGGGTAAGATGGATTTGGGTTTAAGTTCTGACCCTACAACTCAGTAGCCATATGCCTTCAGGCTTATTATTGGCCTGAACCTCAGTTTCATCACCTGTAAAATGGGGATAAGAAATGAGGGCCAGACACATCTATCTCCAGAGTTCCATTCTACTCTGCGTCCCAGCCATTCTTAACTACTGGCAGTTTGCTACATGCTTCTTGCTTCCTCTCCCCTGTCTGGGCTCTGCATGTGCAGTTCCCTCTGCCAGGAATGCTCACATTTCAGATGTGTGGATTACACCATCAAGGTGTTATAAACGCAGTGCTGATATGCTCAGACTTGTGTTTTGAAAAGATCACTCTGCCAGCAACGTGGTGTTGGGCTTGTGGGGGGCAGGGAATCTGGAGGCCAAGGGAATGATAGGGAATTCTCAGGCCCACACAAGAAGCCTGAGAGCTTCTGCCTTCACCCTCTCTCCCTTCCCCATCACTTCTCTGGCCTTAAGGTGCCTTGGGGGAAGGTCAGTGAGGACCCAACAGACATGAACAGGTTGGATTCTCTCTTGATTAATGTTCCTGCTCCCTTCTCAGCCCAGGCGCCTGGTTACTTTATAGGTCAGGATTGAGGTGTTGTATTAGTCTGTTCTGACGCTGTTATAAAGAACTTCCCAAGACTGGGTAATTTATAAAGGAAAGAGGTTTAATTGACTCACAGTTCTGCAGGGCTGGGGAGGCCTCAGGAAACTTAGAATCATGGCAGAAGGGGAAGCAAACATGTCCTTTACATGGCAGCAGGAAGGAGAAGTGCTGAGCAAAGGGGCAAAAGCCCCCTATAAAACCATCAAATCTTGTGAAAACTCACTATCACAAGAACAGCATGGGGGTATCAGCCCCCATGATTCAATTACCTCCCACAGGGTCCTTCCCACGATATGTGGGGATTATGGGTAGTACAATTCAAGATGAGATTTGGGTGGGGACACAGCCAAACCATATTAGATGTAGAGGCAAAACCTCATAGAGGCTACTGAGAGTCTGTGGTCAATCGACGTAGCTTCCTTAGCCTCAGTTTCCTCACCTTTGTAGAACAGAGTTTTTTCATGGTCTGTGGGGTATATGGGATACTTCCTACAAAGTTCTTACAACAGGACCTGGCTCAATTTTATAAAAAATCAAACTCTTGACTGGGTGCAGTGGCTCACACTTATAATCTCAGCACTTTGGAGGCCAAGGTGGGTGGATCATGAGGTCAGGAGTTCGAGACCAGCCTGGCCAATATGGCTACTAAAAAGTACAAAAATTAGCTGGGTGTGGTGGCGTGTGCCTATAGGCCCAGCTACTCAGGAGGCTGAGGCAGGAGAATCGCTTGAACCCGGGAGGCAGAGGTTGCAGTGAGCTGAGATTGTGCCACTGCACTCCAGCTTTCCAGCCTGGGCAACAGAGTGAGACTCCGTCTCAAAAAAAAAAAAAATCAAGTTCTTGCTGAACACTCGCTGAATGCCTGGTACTGCAGAAGGCCCTAGGAATCCAAAGTCTCTCTCTATTTTTTTTTTTTTTTTTTTTTTTTTTTAAGTAGGGACAGGTTTTCTCCATGTTGGTCAGGCTGGTCTTGAGCTCCCAACCTCAGGTGATCCTCCCACCTCGGCCTCCCAAAGTGCTAGGATTACAGGCATGAGCCATCGTGCCCTGCCCCCAAAGTCTCTCTTAAGAACTGACCTTGACTTTTTTGATTGCCTGATATAGGATTTGTGGACTCTGCTGACTGGGGACATCCAATTTTTAGGGAGAAATTTCTGGGAATTTTGTTTGAAAGATGTGCACAAAGATTTAGCTTTTAAGTAGGACCACAGTGGTTATATTTACAGAGTAAAAGATTGGAAATAGCCTTAATGTCCAACTATAGGATATTGGTTTAATATGTGATGAGACAAATCCTGTATTATGCAGTCATTCAAGAGGAAGCAGGTGGATATTTGCTGTTATGGAAAGATGCTCATTATTAAGTGAAAACTATATACAAAACAATCTTTGTATATCAGTAATAGGCCAGGTGTGGTGGCTCACACCTGTAATCCCAGCACTTTGGGAAGTCAAGAAGGGAGGATTGCTTGAGCCCAGGAGTTCAACATGGGCAACATGGCAAAACCTTGTCTCTACAAAAATACAAAAATTAGCTGGGTGTGGTGTTGCACACCTGTAGTTCCAGATACTCAGGAGGCTGAGGTGGGAGAATCACCTAAGCCCAGGAGGTGGACACTGTAGTGAGCCATTACTGTGCCACTGCACTCTATCCTGGGCAACAGAAAGAGACCCTGTCTCAAAAAAATACACATGCGCGCGCGCACACACACACACACACACACACACACTTACTTTAAAACCTGAAGGCTAATAACACCCCCAAATTAACAGTGGCTATCTATAAGCGGTTTTGACAATTATTTTCTTGCACATTTTTTCCTTTTCTAATTTTTTTTTACAATAAACATGTATTTCTTTCGTGAAAAATAGCAATATATTTTGTTAACCTTAAAAGTATTTGATGCTATTAAAATATAAATGAAATAACAAAGAAAGGGTAAGTTTTCCAGCTGTTCCCTTCTCCCTCTCCAGCCTTATCTCCTGACTGGATTCCTGACCAGTCCCAATAAACACAGGCTCTCATTCTTTAAAGTATTCACTAACCTCAAAACAAGGCAGTATAAAGATGAATAAACACACTTTGCAGGTGATCTGTATGCACGCCAAATTTTGAGATGCGTTGAAAGAGGACGTTCTTTACCTCTCTGTCTTCCCTTATTTATTCTCATTTAATCCTTTCCTTCATTCATTCCTAACTTGCAGTCGTTTCTTTAGTGTCATCTACAACTTGAGGGCGTTTATTTACTTTTTTCTACGCATGCGAACTGGCTGAGAGAGAGGTCCGCTCCGCCAGGCAGTCCAGCCTTCTGACGTCTACCATTGGCCGGGTCTGCCAGCGCGCCCCTGATTGGTGGCTGCGGGCCGGGGCTCCGCTACTTCTCAAAGTTGGCGGGAAAGCGGCGTCGCGGCGGAATAGCGGCGGCTGCGGACTCCTTCTTGGGCGGTCCCATGGCAGTGCGGCTGCCGAGGTCGCCGCCACTCAACGTGCTGGCAGAGCAGTTGCGGCACGACGCGGAGGGCATCCTGGGAGCGTGGCGGCTCTTGCGGGCGGCGGTGGCGGGCCGCGAGCCGCTGGAGCTGGCGGCCGTGGGGATGCAGGCCACGGTGGTGATGGCGGACCGCGGCAAGGCGCTGCTGCGGGACCCGAGGTGCCGCGCGGGCGGCCCTCTCTCGTCCCAGGTAATGCCCGGGCCTCACTGGGGGCCCTCTTCCCTGCTGTCCGCCAAGGAGTTGCCGAGGCGAGATTCTTCAAACCCGGTCTTGACACTAGAAAGGGGGCGGGGCGCGGCGGCGCTGGCCTACCTCCGGGCCTCTGCCCCTGCGGTTCCCACCTGGGAACCCTTGCTCTGGTCCCTCCTCCGTCAGGTTGATCTGATGATAAGTATCACCTGCAGTCCCTTTAACAAATCCGGATTCCTGGGACTCTTCCACCTGGTAGTGGGAATCTTATGGGGAGGGACCCGGGCACCTGCGTTTGTCACAAGCCCCCTCCCCCAATTGATTTCCTTTTTCGTCATCAAGTTTTGGGAAATACTATCCTTAACGTCTCAAATGTACCTTTCTCAGGGAAGTCCTCCCTAACCCCTAGGAACGGCAGACCTTCCTGTACTGCTCCTTCGTTGAACTGTCCTGGGCAGTAGCTCACTTACGTTTGCCTCCTCTTTTTTGATTTTTATTTTGGAGGGAGTCTCACTTTGTCGCCCAGGCTGGGGTGCAGCGGCACAACCTCGGCTCAGTGTAGCCTCCACCACCCGGATTCAAGCGATTCTCGTGCCTCAACCTTCCGAGTAGCTGGCATTACAAGCTTGTGTCACCACACCCAGCTAATTTTTTTTTTTTAATCAGAGGCTGGGTTTTGCCATGTTTGTCAGGCTAGTCTGACATGTTTGTCAGGCTAGTCTCCTGGCCTCAAGTGATCTGCCCGCCTTGGCCTCCCAAAATTCTGGGATAACAGGCGTGAGCCACCGCACCCTGCCTGCTTCCTCTATTAAGCCACTGATGCCAAACTTGAGCCTGTATGTCTCTGCTGGAGGGCTTGCTAACGCTGGGATGGCTGGGGCTCCACCCTCAGGGTTCCTGAGTCACGAGGTCCAGGTGAGGCTGGAAATTGCGTTTCTAACCAGCTCGCAGGTGAGGCTGATGCTGCTGGCCTACGTTGGACTTTTTAAAATGTTTTATTTATTTGAGATAGGTGTGTTGCCCAGGCTGGCCTTGAGCTCAAGCAATCCTACTGCTCAGCCTCCTTGGGTAGCTGGGACTACAGGCCTGCACCACCATGCCTGGTGTTTGGGGGCCATACTTTGAGAACCACTGGGCCAGACCAAGCTTCTGGAAGGCCACAGCTGTGTGGTCCTGACAACTATATCCTCAGCATCTGGCCCAGTGCCTGACACATAAGTGCTCAAAGAACCAACTGTCTTGAATGTCAGGCAGTGGACATCCATCTCACTTGTTCACTGAGATATCAGTGGAGCAGGTGTTACACGTCAGCCCCCCATGTGCAGCGCTGGGCTGCAGCCAAGACCCACATAAAGCCTGCCGGGAGATAGGCAGTGAACATGTGTCCCAGAGGATCACTGATCCCAGGGGAGCCATGAGGATGTACAAGGTGCTGAGTGGCCCTCGGAGGCTTCTAGAGGATGTGAGGTCTAAGCTGAGGAGGTCTGAGGATATGTGGGCCTTCCCTCCCCTCGGCTCCCTACCCTGGGAGATCAGGCCAAGATCACTTCATTATTAAGGGCCCCTCCTGCTCAGTCTTGGAGTCTTAATTAGAGGCAGATAGGTCTGTGGTCTGGCCCGAGCTGCTTTAGATTCAGAGACAGGCTTAGGTGAATTCCTGGTTCCACCCCTTCCCAGCTGAGCTGCCTGGAGCACTTTTGTTAACTTTTCTGGATTTGTACTCTTTTGTAAAAAGGAGCTAATCATTCCTGTCTGTTGTGTAGATTCAGTAAGTAAACAACTGCCTTAACAGGAGGCTTGGCTCATAGAGAGGGTGCAAAAACACTTCTGCCCCCTCTCCCCACCTTGCCCTTCAGCCTTCCCTCTGTCTGCTTGCCCTCAGCCCTAGCGCTGGTCTAGGACGGGGTCAGCAAACTACAGGCCTCTTCTTTTCACATGTCCTGCAAACTAAAAATGCTTTTTAATCTTTTATTTATTCTTATTATTTTTATTTTTGAGACAGAGCCTCGCTCTGTGTCTCAGGCTGGAGTGCAGTGGCACAATTACAGCTCACTGCAACCTTCACCTTCCAGGTTCAGGTGATTCTTGTGCCTCAGCCTCCTGAGTAGCTGGGATTACAGGCGTGCACCACCACACTTGGCTAATTTTTGTAGTTCTAGTGGACATGGGGTTTCATCATGTTGGCCAGACTGGTTGGTGTCAAGTTCCTGGCCTCAACTGATCCACCCACCTTGGCCTCCCAAAGTGCTGGGATTACAGGCATGAGCCACTGTGCCTGGTGAGTTTTTACATTTTTAAATGGTTGAAAAAAAAAATGACATGTGAAAAGTATATGTAATTTGAGTGTCAGTGTCCATAGTAAAGTTTTTTTTTTTTGGAGACAGCTTTGCTCTTGTTGTCCAGGCTGGAATGCAATGGTGCTTGGCTCACCGCAACCTCCACCTCCTGGGTTCAAGCGATTCTCCTGCTTCAGCCTCCCAAGTAGCTGGGATTGCAGGCATGCACCACCACACCCGGCTGGTTTTTTGTATTTTTAGTAGAGACGGGGTTTCTCCATGTTTATCAGGCTGGTGTTGAACTCCTGCCTCAGGTGATCTGCCTACCTCGGCCTCCCAAAGTACTGAGATTACAGGTGTGAGACACCGCACCCCACCATAAGTAAAGTTTTATTGGAATACATTGGTAATTTACAGAATGCCTCAGCCAGTGTCCCACTACAGTTAGAGTTGAGTATCTGGGAAAAAGACCCTATGGTGGGAAAAAAGCTTGAAATATTTACTCTCTGGCCCTTTACAGAAAATGTTTGCCAACCCTTTCCCTTAGCCTTTGCCCAGCACGTAACCCATGCTGCTCGGTGTGTTGGCTTGCAGGCAGGCTGGGGCAGTCTCCTGTCTGGTCTCAGTCCTGGCATAAGCCCGGCATCTAGTAAACATTTCATTGTTTGAACCAGTGGGCATTGGTGAACTTGTCTGACATACTCACTGACCTGAATACCAGCTGGCAGGGCTATATCATTTTCCTCTTGTTAATTAATACCAAGTCCAGCTTGACAAAATTGAGTCACTGCCTTCAGGCAAGGAGGCAGGGAGGTAAGCAGGCCACTAAAACACAAAGTAACGTTGCAGGGAAGAGCCAGGTGGCGCAAACCTGGACAGCTGATCCAGGTTTGAGGGCTCAGGGAAGGCTTCCTGGAAGAGGCAGCCCTGAAAGTTGCACTGGAGTTGCCTGTAAGGACCAACCCTCCGGGGTTGCCTGGGACTGATTGGGTCCTGGGTCGTGGGACTTTCAGTGTTAAAACGAGGACAATTGGGCACCCTCTGTCTGGGTGCAGTGGCAGGAGACTATGCAGCTGCATGGAACAGCCTGTGCAAAGGCTTGGAGGGGATAGAGCCTCATGCATTTGGGGAGCCTGGCTGGGGCAGCGGTGGAAGGAAGGAGGGCTCTATCCTGATGAGCCTCAGTGGCTGTCTGGAAGGACCTGCCGGCTTCAGCGTGGCCTTGAGCTCTGCTCACTGCACTGCTGCTCTCGTGCTGTTCCTCCACTGCCTCTTCCTCTGGAACATCCAGGAGTTTGTTTCCATAAACCGAAGGTGCTGAAAATGCTGAGCTGATTGAGAAGCTCTCCCTGTCCTCAAGCTGCTCTTTGGAGGAGAAGCAGAGAAACCACACTTACCTAGATCGTGCTGTGATGAACTGAGTTCTGGAGGCAGGAGGTGGATTTGAGAATGTTGACTGCAGCTGTGAGGTGGGGGTGGTTTTGAAGTGGAGGAAGCTGGCAGAACATGGGCTGGGAACCATTGGAGTGGTCATGGCAACTGGGCGTGGGGATGCGGAAAGGAGAGGGAGGGACAGATTGGAGAGCTGCTTTGGAGTGGGAGAGGGCGTGGGTAGAACCCACAGGGCCAGTTTGTCTCATCGCGTGCCTTTGAGCTCATCCGGCTGGCGCTGTGTGCCTTCCTAGTAGAGTTCCTGTTCCCCTCTCCTGGTCGGAATGTCCTTGGGCTTGTTCTTCTCTTCCTGGGCCTTCAGTTCTACTTCTATGGGTTCCAGCACTAACAGCACTTTAAGCCCATTTAGAAGGGACAGTAAGTGCATTTTCAGAATTAGCCTCTCACTGAGAGACCCAAGTGGATTGTGGGGAGGAGCTCTGAGAAACCTGATCACATCCTGCCTGAGGTTGAATGGGGGGATCAGGGGTCAGCTTGCCTGGCTTCCTGCTCAAAGCCCCAGGCCCCACATGCAGTGCAATGGAAGTAGCCTCATAGGGGCAGTCAGTGGGGCTGGCACCAGGCCTGTCCTTCCTGCAGTGTTTGGAGTTTTCTTTTACACAGTTGGGTTTTGTGTGGTTTAGATTGGCCAAGTTTTGCTTTGAAGGAGAGTCACTTCCCCAAGGGAATGGGAAGTGAGTATCACAGTTAATATGTCATTAGTTCATCCGGGTGGCAGCCTGCCCTTGTGTGGATTTGCTTGTATGTGCTGGAGGTGGCAGGGATAGGTCCCAGCAGTTGCAACAGTAGGGTAGGGGCTGCCTGCCCAGCCTTTCTGGCAACACGGAGGGAAAATTGGATTTGCTTGGTAACTCTCAGAGGGTGTCTGCAGAAAGGGGATGTGTCCTGTGCACAGAGACTAGTCACATACTCCATAGCTTTGAACAAGGAACGGGATTAGAGGAAAGCTGAGGTTTTCTGCCCCTAATTATAACTCATACTCTGATGGGAGTGTCTCCTCCATTCCTTGGGCATGATTACAGTTTATGTGACAGTTTTGTTTGGCCTAGTAAAATCAGAAACCAAAGAAGATGGCCAGGGACAGTGACTCAAACCTGTAATCCCAGCACTCTGGGAGATCGAGGTGGGTGGGTTGCCTGAGGACAGGAGTTCCAGACCAGCCTGGCCAACATGGTGAAACCTTGTCTCAACTAAGAATACAAAAATTAGCCAGGCATGGTTGCAGACACCTGTAATCTCAGCTACTCAGGCGGCTGTTGCAAGGAGCCGGGATCACACCACTGCACTCCAGCCTAGGCGACAGAGTGAGACTGTCTCAAAAGAAAAAAAAAAAAGAACATTACTGTGGGTTTCCTTCTTTTTCTAGGAAAGTACGTGATGGTGATGGGAGTGGTGCAGCCCTGCAGCCCCCAGCCACGCCTGCAGGCTGTGAAGATGACACACCTTTCTGATAATCCCATCTGTGAAAGTATGTGGGAACTGGAAGTGGAAGATTTACACAGGTATGTTCCTTAGATGATATTGGAACTGTCATTAAAAACAACCAAAATCCTGAAACGATTTAAAGCTTATAGTGATGTGGATTTCGTGGATATTTTTCCAAAGTTTCTCAGAGAGCCTTGCTTTGGTTGACTGAGGAGTCCGGATGTAGGAATGTTTAAATCCTGGGATACTTCAGTGACAGCCTCTGCTGCCCCTTGCTTTGCCTGTGTTTGCTGATGAAAAGCAGATGATTTTTTCTTCCTGGTATGTGTGTGTGAATTCTCTCTCTGTGTCTTACGTTGCATTTTCCAAATTTTATGCATGGTGATACTTTTTCCATTACTGCTGCATTCCTGTTTTACAATGCAAAATGTATCTCAGGCATTGCCCTTGGTGATTGAAGTGTGGTTATGGGCAGGAAGACAGACTGTGTAAAAAAGGAATGACATCATGGCTCCTCATCTTCTTCATCAGCAACTACCATAACCAGTTTGAAAGTCAAATGGCATTTCCTAACAGCAGGCTCAGTGGCCCCCGAAAGGCAACAACAGCTCCCTTTCTATTTCAGACACCACTCAAACGTTGAGACACCGCTCTATTCATTTCCCTTGGCTAGAGAAGGTGATACCTTCTTCCATCACTCAGACTTTGAGATGTTTTCAGAATTAATTGTTGAAATGAAAAACATCAAGATTAAGGATGCCTTTTAGGCCTTAGCTAAACTTCCGCTTCATAACTTTGGACGAGACACAGCGAGCCTCCTGGTTTAGAGTTCTTTTGTCTTTTTGTATGGAATGACTTGGCTGTGATTTGAATGTTGGGTTTCTTTCGTCTGCTTAGTACCCGTGCCTGATTTTTTGAGATCGTACATATCAAGGGAGTTAGATTATGTTCTGACATGGTTATAGACTTTTGCCTGGATTATTGATATTCTACCTCTAATAAATTGTTTAATATGCTGTATAGGTTTTTCTTTTTTAAATAGACTTAAGAAAACAGTTCTAAGTTTTCAGAAAAATGGAGCAGAAACTATAGCGTTACCACATACTCCACACTCACACACCACTCTCCCAGTTTTTCCACCTGTGAATGACCGTCTTTTATTAGGATAATACATTTAATAAACCAACATTACATTTTTTAAAGTCTAATTTACATTAGGCTTCATTCTTCCTCTTATACATTCAGTGGATTTTGCCAAAGGCATAATAACATGTATCCACCATTACAGTATCATCCAGAGGAGTTTCACTCCCCTAAAAATCCTCTGGGTTCCCCTTGTTAACCCCTCCCCCCTACCCTGATAATCACTAATCTTTCTTTTTCAGTTTTGTGTTTTCCAGAATATATAGCTGGATCATACAGTGTGTAATTTTTTTGGACTGGTTTCTTTAATTTGCTGTGCATGTAAGAGTCCTCCATGTCGTTTTTTTTTTTTTTTTTTTTTTTTTTTTTTTTGAGACAATCTTAATCTTACCCAGGCTGGAGTGCAAGGGCACAATCACAGCTCACTGCAGCCTCCACCTCTCAGGCTTAGGTGATCCTTCCATCCCAGCCTCCCGTATAGCTAAGACTACAGGTGTGCATCACCATGCCTGGTGAATTTTTTGTAGAGACAGGATTTTGCCATGTTGCCCAGGCTGGTCTCAAAGTCCTGAGCTCAAGAAGTTCTCCCACCTCAGCCTCCCAAAGTGCTGGGATTACAGGTGTGAGCCACTGTCTCTGAACTCCTCCAGGTCTTTTTGCAGCTTATTAGCTCTTTCTTTTACTTTTTCTCTTTTTTTAAATAAATGCCCATGTTTATTATAAGATAGAAACCTTAGAATTCCTTAGGGACTTTATTTCTTTTTTTGAGACAGACCCTGTCACCCAGGCTGGAGTACAATGGTGCAATAACTGCTCACTGCAACCTTCGCCTCCCGGGTTCAAGTGATTCTCCTGTCTCACCCTCCTGAGTAGCTTGGATTATAGCTGTGTGCCACCATGCCCGGCTAATTTATGTATGTATGTATGTATGTATTTGAGGTGTTTTGTTTTTGTTTTTGTTTTAAGATGGGGCCTTGCCCGGTCACCAAAGTCACCCAGGCTGGAGTACAGTGGCACAATCCTGGCTCACTGCAGCCACCTCCCAAGCTCAAGCAGTCCTCCCACCTCAGCCTCCCGAGGAGCTGGGACTACAGGCAGGAACTCCCAGGCTTGAATTTCTGGGCTCAAGTGGTCTTCCTGCCTTGGCCTCCCAAAGTGCTGGGATTACAAGCATGAGTCACCACACCCGGCCAGCTCATTTCTTTTTATCACTGAATAATGTTGCATTGTATGGATGTACCATCGTTTTATCTAATCCACCTATTGAAGGACATCTTACTTGATTCCACTCTGGTAACTATGAATGAGCTGGTAACATTCATGGCCAGGTTTTGTGTGGGCGTTAAGTTTCCAGCTCATTGGAGTAAATGCCTAGGAGTGCAATTGCTGGGCCATATGGTAAACCTATGGTTAGCTTTGCAGAAACTGCCAGACTGCTTTTACATTCTCACCAACAATGAAGGGGAGTTCCTGTTCCACATCCTCGTCAGCATTGAGTGTTGCCAGTGTCTTCTTGGCTGTGCTGTGGTTTTTGTTTGTTTGTTTTTGAGACGGAGTCTTGCTGCCTTGCCAGGCTGGAGTGCAGTGGTGGTGATCTTGGCTCAATGCAACTTCTACCTCTTGGGATCAAGCGATTCTCTTGCCTCAACCTCCCGAGTAGCTGGGACTACAGGCACATGCCACCATGCCCAGCGAATTTTTTTTTTTTTTTTTGAGACTGAGTCTTGCTCTGTCACCAGGCTGTGCAGTGGCGCAATCTCGGCTCACTGCAACCTACGCATTCTAGGTTCAAGCGATTCTTCCGCCTCAGCCTCCCAGGTAGCTAGGACACCACAGGCGTGTGCCACCATGCCCGGCTAATTTTTTTTTTGTATTTTTAGTAGAGACGGGGTTTTACCATGTTGGCCAGGATGGTCTCAATCTCTTGACCTCATGATCCAACTGCGTCAACCTCCCAGAGTGCTGGAATTATAGGTGTGAGTCACTGTGCCTGGCCTATGCTGTGCTTTTAAACTCTTTTCTTTTTAAAGCAGAGCAGATTGAAGTGTGCCTTGTTTTCATTGCCCACATGAAGCTTGTTTTGAACTGTTTTATGTTCACAGTTTGGGATTTTTGAGGCAATATTGCTGAGCTGTCCTGTCAATTTGAGCCCTTTGTCTGCCACTAACCTTGCCATGTGACTATGAGCAAGGTACCTAGCCTTTCTGTTCTTCAGTGTCTTTATCTGTAAAATGCAGATTATGCCCAGCTCATAGCACTAGTGTGAGGAATAAATGAAGATATGTGTAGATCACTTTTACATGGTATGTGACACTTGGAAGGCACCAAATCATTATTGCTGGGAGAGTCAGTATATTCTTGCTTGCCTACACACATACACACACCCACACACACAGAGAGAGAGAGAGAAATTGCAGAGATAGTACCAAGAGTTCCCATGTACCTGTACACAGCTTCCCCTATTATTAACATCTTACATTAGTACGGTGCATTTGTTAAAATTAATGAACAAATAACAAATACTGAGATGCTCTTATTAACCCAAGTCTGTACTTCATTCAGATTTGTTGGGGTTATTCCTAATGTCCTTTCCTATTCCAGTGTCCCATGTGGGACACCGAATTCCACTTCATCATCATGTCTCCTTCTAAGCACTCTCCCTGGCTGGGTCACTCGATGTTGGGAGGTCAAGGAGGACTGATCACTGGAGGCCAGGAGTTGGGGACCAGCCTGGGCAAAATAGTGAGACCCCCGTTTCTACTAAAAATAGAAAAAAATTTGCCAGGCATGGTGGCACGCACCTGTAATCCCAGCTACTCTGGAGGCTGAGGCATGAGAATTTCTTGAACCCAGGAGGTGGAGATTTCAGTGAGCTGAGATTGCACCACTGTACCCCAGCCTGGATGATGAAGGCAGATTCTGTCTCAATTTAAAAAAAAATGCAAACCTTATTCACAAAATTATTATAGTGCACCTGGTAGTAGCCCCTGAGCTAGATGTGTAATAGACTCCCAAGATCTTAACCTGAAGTCTAACCTGCTGTGGCGAAACCTGCTTGTATGCCAGAAAGTAGACCCAAGCTGCCGAAAACCGCCTGTACCGTATCCTGCCCTGTTTATCCTCCCCCAACTTCTGGTAAATAATGTCCATTAAAAAATGCTGGTTGGGCTGACATGGTGGCCTGAGCGATAACACATCTCAGGAATGTGGGGGGGTGGGTGTGGGGTAGGAAAAGGAGGCCACTGTGTTTTTTCTGACAGTCCCCTCGAAACTGCTGGTGGCTCAGTGCTGGAAGGGTGTCGCCCCAGCATGTTAGCTGAGCTGTGTGGTTTCTCTGAATGTTAATAACTTTCACTGCTTCGGCTTGTGTTTCCTCCTTGACATCACCAAATGAAAACATGTCAGAGGTTTTGGGTTTCTGGTGCCAAATCCAAGCTGGTTTATCAGCAAACGCCCCCCGCCAGACAATGGAGTCTGTGTGCTGAGGCAGAGCCTCTTTCCCTTTGACACTGGCTCTTTTCTAAGAACTGAAAATAAGCTGCAGAGGCTGTGACTTCACTTTTCTTGGAACTGCTTTACATTACCCCAAAAAATGCAGAAAACCCTCATTTAGCAGTTTTTGGATTGCTGAGTTCTCTACTTCTTTCTGTTGCGTATTCTTGTAATGCTCACGTTTGACTGAAAAATTCTTCTGCATCAGGCGAAGCGGGAGGGGGAAGGAATGACCGCGTGAAGGAACTGTGTGCTTTGTCACTTGGCCTGTTTGTGGTTTAATGGTTGATGAGAAAAAGCACCTGGAAGAGACACTGTGTGTAGAATGCCTTCAAATTCCAAGGGTCACAACCCTGCGATCTGTTGACCAGCAGTTGGCTAGGGCTGGTGTAGCTGAACATCAGGCTATAGCCCAAACTTACAGAGCAGCTGCAAGGACAAGAGGAAAAATGCGT